TGAGCTTTGGCTAGATCTTCATAGAAATAGTCTATGCCTTCTTAAGGTATTTTTTCTGTAGGCGCTTAAAGCCTGTATTATTGCAAAAAATAAGTTTTCAAGTTCTATTTCTAATACGCAGACTTTCTCCGATATACCTATGAATGCTTTGATTTTTTCCCAATGTTTTTTCTTGACCAGCAAGCCCAAAAGGTTTTTTGGTTGGTTGGTTTTTTTTGACCAAGTCATAGAAAAATTGAGATTCGCAGACCATTATATTTAGCTTTCATTGATTACAAAAAAGCCATTGACAGTATATCACATGAAAGTATTTGGGAAGCACTAAAAGATCAACATTTAAATCAAAATATATAAATATCTCTAGAAATATCTAGTATCTAATAGCTCAAGTAGGGTCAAGTTAGATAGAACAGGCACAAAAATTTTATCAATCCTGTTCATAGCGGTCTTGCAACATATAATGGCAGGCTTATCATGGTCTAAGCAAGGCATCAACGTAGACGGACAGTTTCTTAGCCACTTGAGATTCGCCGACGATATCATCCTTTTCGCAACTCATCCAGAACAATTAAACATCATGATAAACGATTAGAAATGCACCTAAACAAAACGAAAGTTATGTCTAATCACATCATAACATCCATCTTGGTAAATAAGATCCGTCTTGAATATGTAAAAAACTAAAAGTAAACTAGGCAAACAAATCCATTCAACAAAGAACGAAATACTGAAAAAGTGGACAGAAGAATAGCGATCATCTGGAAAAAGTACTGTAGTCACAAGGAAATTTTCAAATCGCAATAATAAAAAAATTGTCATGGATTCTGAAATACTGTCATGTCTCACATATGGCTGCCAAACTTGGATCGCAAAACCAGAAATAAAATCCAGACGACTCAAAGAAGATGGAGAGAAGTTTCCTAAGTATAAAGTTAGGAGATAAAATCAGGAACACAGAAATTCGCAAGAGGACGAAAATAAGTGACGATCTATCCTTCTCGCTAGACAGAAAACGGAAGTTGATGGACAAAGAGAGACGAAATGGTCTGGGCCAAGAGGCACTAGAAATAGAGGCAGACCTAGCGCGAGATGGGTAGACGCACTAGTGGAGACGGCGGGTCGTAATTGGTCAACAGTAGCTAACAATAAGGAAAAATGACATGCCTTGCAGGAGACCTTTGCCCACACACATACTTAACTTTTTTTTTAATCTTCATCTTCTAACTTCTACGGAATCAAATAAAGCTTTATTATTATTATGTCTAACCTCGTTGCAAAAAATTATGCAACCGGCAGTCGTTAGCACGGTGTTGCACTCCTTAATGAGTTAGCCACGTGTCGCACGACCAGAAATAACCTCAGTGTAACAGCAAGAAGCGATAACAGCCGTGATGTCGCGCTTCGTACCGCTTGGACCAGCTGCGACGGAAGTCACCACAGTGATGCAATATTTTACTGCTTTCTTCCCATTTAATGGCGCCGACGTCGATATTTGTCTACTCTTTTCGTAAATATTTTCTGAATACGTGGCTATTAATATGTAACTATAACGGAGACTTGTAGGTGTTGTTTTGAATTTTGAATGATAAACACACTTGTTCGTATACTTTTGTTGATTTGAAATACATACGTACATCATCAGATACTCCATCAAATACACCAGTGTACACTGGTGTTTAAAACTCGATGAGATAGTGTGGGCTCGGATTGATTGCGCTCGGATAATTACTCGGATGCTACTTGTATCGTGTAAATACGCCGTCCGAGTGCACTCGGGCGTCGGATACCGATCAGAGTTCACTCGAACGCGGTTTTTTTTTTTCGAATGCACTCGGATGATTCTATGTAAGCAAAATGGCATCAACAAAAAAAAAGTGGAGTGAACGTAACATGAGGTTTATGGAACTTTATAAAGAGGATGAAGTGTTGTGAAATGTGAGGCTAAATTAATATAAAAAAAAGACATCCGAATGCTGCAATACAACGCATAATTAATAATTTACACATACCTGAACTTATGATACCAAGACGTGAACAACAAATTGAACGACAAGACGTGAACAATAATATCCTTTATACGTAATCGCAAGAACTATTAAAATTCAAATAAAATCAACAGGATCTTTTATTGAAAAAAAACACAGATTTCTATCGTGTGTAATCAGAAAAAGAAAACGTTTTATGAAATGTTCAGGGTTTATAACAGTTAAATAATAAATAATACTCGTAAATTGTTTGCTGTAGTTTTATAATAATGATTTACTAATATAAGAAAAAACAGGTATTTGAGAATATTCTGCTACTTGGCAGTGTGACATGCACATTCTCTCATGAAGTAGTGTTTGAAACTAGTTTTTCGTTCTCTGCTGACCAAAAATACTCAGAAGATCAGGTATATGATTGGAGCTTGATTCTTGTCTCCATGTATCAGGGTCCTGTAAGTGCATCATAACGCAAGGCTCTCTTAATCAACTAGTTCTGTAGGGCGAAAGTTGCTCCTTACTCTTTTATAGACTCTATTTCTATGACTCGCAGTAGAAAATCGTCATCATCGGACATCTTGAAAATGGATGTAGTGCAATTAAAAAACAAGATAAAATGATACTTGGACGCTATTTACCTCGTAACGTGTGTACTACAATCCGAATGCACTCTTATACGAGCAGGCTCGTACGAGCGCACTCTGTCCTCGCCCACTCGCAATGTGAAAACGCGGCTTAAAGGCCCACATTTTGACGACTATGATAAAATTTAAGTGTCGCTTACTTTCTAGGAGCCAAACATATTATTTACTGTCAACCAGGCATATGTGTATATTTCTAAATATACAAACTTATACATATTATAGATAAAAAATACTCAGACACAGAACGCTCGTGCTTGGCAGTCAGGATCACTTTTTAATAAAAAGTAAAAAATAGTAAGCAAACTTAAGGCTTGTAGATATCGATTAATAATCAACTACCTAAAACAGAAATGAAAACCATAAGGAAATAATGTTATTTAATAATTCTTCCTAACAGGGTCATATGACAATAGCTCAGTATGAAGCAAAATATTTTTATACGTCCATGGGATCACTAAACATTTTCAGGAACACACACAGGTCAATTTGAATGCTCTCAAATATATTTTTGATGCCTTGTTGTGATTTTTTTTTGGCAATTGTTTTAAGTACAGATTCATTATTTACACAAACGTCAGTCATAAATTTTAGTAACGAAAAGGTTTATTTAATGATAGTACAAATAAAATATTTCTTCCATCAGTCACTGTGCGTTGGAGGAAATTGTAAAATCTAAATTACGAACGAACGAACGAAATAATTATTGTTTACGATAAGTTCCTGTGACAGTAGAAAATGTCAAACATTTTTAATGTTATGTTAAAGATTGGACTGCTGTGTTGTCCAAGGCCTTTAAAAAATTTGCTCGTCGCTACACCATCTGGAATTTTAATGAGATAGAGCTCGATGTTATCTAATAGTGTGGTTGCCCAAAACTCGTTAAACAGCAATCATTTGATCGCCATGCGGATATAACGGGTCAAACCATTGACAAACGCCTACGGTTCGTATTTACAATAGGCACTTTGGAATCAATCTTGCAATACAGTTTGAAACATTTCATAAATAAGTATAACTCATTGCAAAATATTTATTTTTAAATCTAATGTATCTTATTATTTTTAGTTTCCTCAAGTTATTGATAGCCAAGCCATTTTTAAATAATTATCGTATCGGTCTGAAACTGAACGTAAGCAAAGGTAATGATAAAAGAGATTTATAAATTTTGATAGCCGTCCCCTGCCACGCTTCACTGTGGCATATTATGGAGCAATAAGGAACAAAACTGACGCGAAAAAAGATAAAAACCATCTTTGAAGGGGTTTTTATATCGTGTAAACTCAATCGGTGAAGCACTTTTTAAGTTTTTGAAGTGTACACAAACCAAGCTAACAAATATATATGTATACACATATTTTAAGATTTTATTCATGAATAAAAGTGTAAGAATATGAAATTTACTTTTAATTTCGCAAAACGTTATGGCATAGACATCTATACTAATATCATGAAGCTAAAAACTAAGTTTGTTTGTCTCGTTGAAAGCGCTAATCTTAGGAACTACCTACTGGTTTGAAAATTATTTTAGTGTTGGGTAGTCAATTAATCGAGGAAGGTTAAAGGCTACGACCAATAGAAGCTGAGCATCAATGAAAAATGTTGCAACAATAGGGCACTTTTCTGTTATGCAAGAGAGGGCAACCGAGCAGACGGGTCACCTGATAGAAAGTGACTACCGCCGCCAATGACCCTGTAATTCAGGAGTCATCAGCGCATAGCCGGCCTATTATTACACATATATATATATATATATATCACATAATCACTAAGACCGCACACACACGTAATTTGATCCACAAGCAAATACACAATATACTATACATATAGTTATATATATATATATACACACAGGAATTTTGGGGTCCTGTTGAACAGTAAATCGAAATAAATAGATAGGTATACAATTATTGTAGAGGAGAGCGTGGTACCCGTAGAACCAATTGTAGTTGTAATTGGTAAAATGGTTTTGGACATGATGAACTTAAAACACGAACTACCTAAAACATATACATATACAACTATAGAAAAGAAATTGTATAGTATAATCGAATATATCTCTCTATGTATTCGCTTTTCGAGGCCGCCATGACGATGCGGGCCCTGGACACGGGCCCGGTATGCCCTTATGGTAAAGACAGTTCTGAATATTTTTATCCTTTTGCGAGACGCAGACTTCGTCTGCGTCTTTATATTTATTAACTACCTGACAGGAAGTCTCTTTTGAGTTCGGTTTCAATGCTAACTTTTTACTCTTTACCAACCATAAGAAAACAAATTACGCTTAAGAAATACCCTGTTTCTATTTCAGGAGACATGAGTCGATGAAACATCGAGCTACTGGTTATTGAATGAAAAAGAAATAGGCGATATCAGAATGAAACGCCTCCAGAAATGCTGTTGTTGTGCTTCGACCCGCACCGGGACACTGATCACGGCCACCCTCGGGATCATACTGTCAATCGCAACCATTATCTTAATCTGGGCGGTCAAACAACACAGAATCGCATTCAGCACATTCATATTTGATGAAGAGTTTGATAGGACACTCACAAGGAACAATGGTAAGAATATATGCAACATTTAGTTGATACCTGTATCTGAAATACAAAGAAATCTGGTGTTATGTTATGAGGAAAATGTAAGAAATTTACGATTTAAATATTAATTGTTTCTTTGTTTCAGTTCCGAGGATAGTATTAACAGTAAATCTATGCTTTACGATACTGATATGCACCTTGCTTATCGTAGCTGTTCAAAAAGTAAGTAACTAATTAAAGCTAAATCTAATAAGAAGGTATAAATCTGTATGTACCATCATCATCATCATCAGCAGCCTTTAGTAGTTCACTGCTGGACATAGGCCTCTCTTTAGAAAGGTTTGGTCTACGCTGGCCAGGCGTGTTGGTGTATGGTTTGTTTCAAGTTTTCCTTCTCTATGCTGCACTGGTCAACAGCACTGCTGTTATACTGCACAGTTTGCTCCCTTAGTCGGCTCTTACGACATCCACGGGACTTTAAATCAGTTAAAGATAAAACTATTATTTTTAATTACGTTATATTTGTAGCACACAAAAATTATATCACAACAGCACTAGTTATTGTTAACCTTCAGATTCCAAATAATGTAGTACATACAGAATTAACTTACAGTTATTAGTTATTTAGAGAAGCTACAAAACTTTAACGATTCCATTGAGACGTACTAAATTCTTATTTTTCTTATCTTATGCTGCATATAGACGTCTTATACGGTAAGAATTTATATAAAAAAGTGAATTGCTTCTGACTTTAACATTTACGAATCGGTTTCGAAATGTTTTTTTTTTTTGGGAGGACATAATGGTTAGTTTAAATTTAAATAATAAAATAAAGTGAAGAATGCAGTTAATTACAATTTATCTTGTAGGCTAAAATATAAAATGTGGGGAAGTAGTTTATTATTTTAAAATGTTTTATCAATAATTAAACCCCCTTTCTGGTATTTTTCTCTAGCGGCGGTCATGGCTGATGCTACCGTGGGTAGTGCTGGGCATAGTGCTCGCCGTTGGGTTACTGATCAGCGTGTTACACACATCTATTACGTACTACCTCGATAAGGATGACTACGTAATCCTTGCTACTATCATTCTCATCGGCGGACTTCTCTACTTGTGTTAGTATTGAAATCTCTATTCTTTCTCTACATATATAATATATATAATAAAAATACATATAAACAGTTATTGCGTTATTTTAGCAGCCATATTTACACGAGTTACCGTCAGACTTAAATATTTTGGAGGAGTTATATATTTAATATAAAGCATTTATGATAATACCTATCGTTAGAACTAGAATTTTATAGTAGACAGATTTTGTAGGGTCACGTCTATATCTTGTTTGATTTTCAAACGGCATTTTTTTGTTATCTGATTTATGACTAAGTACTAAAATTGATAACACACTTAATAAAAATAATCGTATGCAAACTGTTTAGGTCTATACCTGTACCTGTGGGCAGTGGTGTTCAGTCACTACCTGGACACACGTGATGAAGAAGAACGTGGCCGGTACCGCAAAGCTCCCTACCGACGATAGAGCGACACAAACAACTTTTAGACTGCATAATATCTCATAGTCTTGTCATTGTCTAATCTCAATATTTTTATCTGTTAAGTCTAATAAAATGTAGATATATTTGATAGAGAAATGGAACTGCATATTAACTTGAGATATTTTTAAATATAAATACTTACCTACAGTGCCTTAACAAGCAGGATATAGTATGTAAAATAAAGTCAATTATAAGCAGAAGCTTTAACAGTAAAGAAATGGGACGATTATGTCCCAAACCTGACGCCTAAATATCGCGATAGCTTAGAAAATTTTATTAGGCCATTGGTAAAACATTTGGAGTTTTCAGCCACTTAGATTTGAAATATTGCTCTTGCTTTCAATTTATAATAAAGAGTCCTAATTAAATGTCTTTGCGATCGTACTGTATAAATGATAGATTTATAGTGCCTTATAAATATTTACAACTAAATTTTTCGGATACCTACATTTTGACCGTCGACACCCGACCGTGTATGAAATAGTCCAAGGATTTATTCGTATCGTTAACACAGTAGTTACCACAGATTATATTATGTTTCAATAAACTATGAAAGTACAACAAACTGATATTTTTTTAAATCTATTTTGATAATTTAATAAATATTATTTATTTAACTAGAGTTAACATACTGTATATTTTAAGTACATATTTTTAATATAAATGTTTACAAATAATATACAAATGTGTTTTATTTATCGAATTGTACTAATATATTTAATAATAGCTATGTTAAGATGAATTTATTTCTAATAAGATCACTTAAATATAACAACAACAATTTTTAAAGCTAATGAAAGGTGCAAGAAAGTGAAAATTAAGTTAGAATATTTACAACATTAACACTATCTACATACAAGCATCAAAAAATTCCTCCGCATCATCGCCTACTGGTAGCGCTCCCAGAAGACTGGCAGCATTGCCACGTTGAATGGCAATGCTAATTCTCTGTGCTAGAAAAAGACCAGCCTTCTGGTCACGAGAAGTGTCAATCAGTAGTTTAGCTAGCTGTTTATATATAGTACGAGCACTTGGACCCCATGACCCTAAAGTTTCGACCCCAAACGGTTCAAAAATGTAATTTCCTACTAATTTCTGATATTTACGACGTTTGAGGGTTTCTGCAGATGCAGCAGCAGCGCCGGCGGTAACAAGAGCCCGACGGATAATGCCGTTAATATTGGCATATCGAGATATACGGCCAGCGCTTCTGCTACAAGAAAGGCCATGATGTCCAAGACTGTCAACAGCTTCTCCGCAGTGACAAAGATGCGGAGAAACACAAGGCGCACCTAAACGAAGACAAGTGGCAAGGCGAAATGTAATATCGTCCAACAAAGTGCCTATGTTGGGCGATGGAAGTGCCTGAATCCATAAGCCTGATTCCCATTCTCCCACAGCTAACAAACGAGCGCGCTCAGCAAGATTTATTGCTGTATTGATCAATGTTTTTTGTTTTAAAATACATAGTGGCGCCTCCCATTGTCTCTGAGAGGATGGATTAACAGGTAATATTGTATTGGGACAAGCTATCCGCCAGGCACGTATGGCGTCGGCCTTGCAAGACACTTCAGAATCAACCAGTGTGCTTATTAGAATTTTCCTGGTTAACTCTTCTGTGCCATGGACCGAAGACAGAAAGGCTGGAAGGCTGACATCTACAATTTTGCGTCCTCCAAGACCACCCAGACGAACTGGTAAGGATGCTTGGAGCCAGGTTCGATCATTAAAAGCTATATTCAACACTTTACTGAGAGTGTTTTGCATAATTTTGTCAACTTTTTCTAAAAGTGATGGGTGTTTCCAAAGTGGGGATGACCGAAGTGCATGTATAAATTTAGGTACTAAAAGACAAAAACGGAGTATAGTAAAAGTTGAATGGACATTAATTTTAAGTAAAAGATCCGAAAAATCACCAAACATTTTAATTTTGTCCTCTATAAAAGATTGAAAACCATCTTCCAAGACTGGACATCCAAGAAGGCGAAGAGAATTTTTTTCTAAAAGTTTATTGTTGGGTGCTAATGAATTGAATTTTTGTACAGTCGCGAGTCTGTCTGTATTGTCACAAATAAAAATTTCGCATTTGCAGAGTTGAGTTCTAAGCCAATGGATCTAAATTTATTTTTTATAAAAGATAAATCTTCTAAAACTGTATCTACTTCCCCTCCTAGAGTTCCATCGTCAAGGTACCAAATGTTAAATTTAGACTTTACCTGCTCAATAATAATGTATTGCTAAACTGAAGATAAGTAACCACCATAACACGACACCACAACGAACTTGTAAGCGAAGGCCTAATAGTAAGCTAAATGTTCCGATAATGCCGAAAGAAAGTAGAAAAAAATACCTAAATAGTAAAGAATCTAATTTGCAATGATTATTATTGAATTAAGAATTACAATTAAATTCTATCTATTTTTTACCGATTTTACATTTTTGATTTTGATAGTAGGCCAAAACCTCCTTTCTAAGGAGAGGCCTATGTCCAGCAGTGGACTATTATAGGCTGTTGATGTGATGTGATATGACAAAATATTTTTTGGGGAATACCCTTACATCGTTCATTCTTCCTACGCGACATTTAAGGGGAACGCTAACACGTCATTATGTAAGCAAAGATTGCTTTTTTGTTAAATCTTTTTTTAAAAATTTGCTTTTTTGTTAAATGGTCTTATTAGTGGTAATAATGAAAAAAGTGAAATAAAATTAAAGAATTGCATTCTTAATGTTTGAAATATACGAGGGCGGGTCAATAAGTCCGTGACTTTTTGAATTTCTGACCTCTTTACTGAAAAAGCAACACTACTCCTGTCAACAGGCATCTGTCAGTTGACTCTTGTCAAAATCTGAACTTGCTGCGTCAGTTAGTTTGTGTTTGACAGCTATCTTTATCAGACTACCCAGTAATTTGAGGAAAAAATGGAAAAAAGTGAATTTCGTGTGCTTATTAAGCATTATTTTTTGCGAAAAAAAAACCATTACCAAGACCAAGGCTAAGCTTGATAAATACTATGGGGACTCACCACTGGCACCATGGGCACCATCGATTTCAATCTTAAAAAAGTGGTTTACTGAATTTCGTTCAAGCACTGAAGATGCCGAACGTCCTGGACGCCCAGTTGAGGTCTCTTTACCCGAAACAATCGAAAAAATTCACGATATGGTGTTGGCCGACCGAAGATTGAAAGTGCAAGAGATTGTGGAAGCCGTAGGGATCTCGCATGGCTCAGTGGTTTCAATTTTGAATTATCACTTGGGCATGAGAAAGCTTTCCGCAAGATGGGTGCCGCGATTGCTTACAGTCGACCACAAACGCAATTGTGTAACAACTTCACAGGAAGGTTTGGCGTTGTTTAATCGCAATATGGAGGAGTTTTTGCGCCGTTTTGTAACCGTGGACGAAACATGGATCCATCACAACACACCAGAGACTAAACAACAGTCAAAACAGTGGGTTTCTAAGGGTGAATCGGCGCCAAAAAAGGCCAAGGTGGGTTTGTCAGCCAATAAAGTTATGGCGACTGTCTTTTGGGATGCACGCGGGATAATCCACATTGACTACCTTCAAAGGGGAAGAACAATCAATGGGGAATATTATGCCAACTTATTGGACCGATTCAATGACGATTTGAAAAAAAACCGACCTCATTTGGCCAAGAAAAAAGTTATTTTCCACCAAGACAATGCAAGGGTGCACACATGTGCAGTTTCCATGGCAAAAATCCATGAATTGGGCTATGAATTGCCCCCTCATCCGCCCTATTCTCCAGATTTGGCTCCGAGTGACTACTTCTTGTTCCCAAACCTGAAGAAATGGCTTGGTGGAAAAAGATTTGACTCCAATGATGAAGTCATCTCGCAAACAAAGGCCTATTTTGAGGACCTCGACAAATCATATTTTTTGGAAGGGATAAAAAAATTGGAGAAGCGTTGGACAAAGTGTATAGAGCTCAAGGGAGACTACGTTGAAAAATAAAATGATTTATTTATCAAAAAATCTGTGTTTTATTCCAAAAGTCACGGACTTATTGACCCGCCCTCGTAATTCAAGTAAGTAAGTTAAGTTCAAGTAAGTAAGTTGTAAAATGGTACTAAAAGTTCCATTTTCAAATTGAAAGGGAGTATTGGTGGCAAATAATTTAAAAAATATTGATTAGGTATACAATCAGTAGCTTCTGAAAAATTCGACGTACACTTACAAACATATGTATAAATTCTCACTACATACTACACGAACTCTCTCAGTGTGATCATACTTCCTTAGAAGCCGCAGTAGACCAACATACGTGAATATTAGATAATACCAAACGTTCAAGAGTAGAGTGAAAAACAATCTTTTGACTAAGCGAATAGAACTATTCTATTAAACAAAAAAATAATACATACAAAATTAAACATTGATAGTGACTATGTAGTAATATACTGTTACTACTGTTTATCAAATCTACGAACTATCATTTGACATTTCATACTTTTCAAGCCGAAAGAATTATGAAGCTATTCTTATTTTATCACAAGATATACAACTCTTAATGAGTAGATTTAAATGTTTTGAACAATGCAAAATAACCAATTTAATATACAATAGATAGATTTTTTTGACTTCGTTTCAAAGTCAAGTTAGGTGCTTTACCGTAGTGTTACGAACTTACGACCCTTCTTCACTTGTATACCTACAAATAAATAATCTTTCAAAATGTAAGATTAAACGAACTCATTAATAACCAGTCGCTTTTGAGTATGTACTTAAATTTCACCTGGTAGCCAACTGCCAACGAAATTAAATTAAAAATACGTAAGAAATTGGAATTTAAAATAAATCTTTGTTGACAAAACCGCTTGCATCGAAAAATGGTCTCTCTGTTATAAAGTACTGACATTAACCTACACACTTTGCTTTATACTAAGATTTACAAGTAAAACCTAAGACATATCAATATACGGGCTTTACAATAATATGCATTATATAAGAACTGTAATCAATTTGCAAATATAAAGAAATGATATCGATATCTCTGAAGAATTGGATATTATAGTAATCGATTTCTTTGACTTCCCTATTCTTGTATCTGTCAGAAATGACAAAACTTTACTTCTTTGTTATAATGGACTATACGTAACGTCTTTACTGTAACAAATTATTCTACAGTCTCAGCACTATGCTTAAAACTAAACTAATTTCTAAAATTTAAGGGTTAGTTTTAAGTTTTTTTTTAAGAATTTACTCACTTGTGAACTCAATCTAACCATTGAATAAGTAATTCGATAATAAGATTCAGTTACAACAAGCGCAAAGACAGTAAAATAAAATCATAACCTACAACTAAGAAAGACTGTTAAAATAAATTATTTGACCAAATAATAATTCGATTAGCCCAGATAGTTATATTTTTAATTTTAATTATTAACAATCCTTAAAACAATGATGTTTGTTTACAAGGATTCCATAATATGCAACTTGACTGTCTTGACTGAAAAACTGAGTTTTTTGCCAATTTTGTTTTTTGGCTATATGAATCGTTTAGACATAACATAACGTTTAAACATAACGACGCCTTCGCCAGATCAAGCAAAAATACACATAAACTCTTAGTTCCCAGACAAAGAGTGAATATGTATAGTAAGAATGTAAACTGTATGGCTATACACATTTATAACAAGTTACCAAATAGATTTAAGGAAGATACTGTTAATGTTTTAATTATGTATGTTTCTACAGTAACAAAGATTTTTTGGACAATAAGAAATTGTGACATAGTAATAATGCATGATAATGTGAACCTGGATAAAGAGATACACATAAATTCACTTTACTAACATTTTGTTCACCAGACAACGGTAGAATGTACCTAGCATCTAAATATATTTTGAATATTTTGATTATCATAATTAATATTATAGAATCAACTGCAGATTGCACCAATTTGGAGTGTTTTACATCTTCGAAGTTAACAAATAACACAAATGGAAATAAAGTTTACTTTTACAGCTAAAAGTAAGTGCGCACACCACGAGTCACTTGGCCTATATTGGTGTTTTAAAATACGAACCTAACGTCTATTAATTTAAGAAGAATAATTGCCCAATTTATAAAATGGACTAAATGGACTTGTGCAAAATCTTTAGAACAAGATTTTTTGAATCAAATTGTTGTTATTCTAAAGGAGTATTAATAAATTTCGAAACCTTACACTGCACGTGGCCCGACACACACTTGGTGGATTTTTTAGAATATTCCAGTCAGTTTCATAAAGTACCTAAGTAAGATTAGTAAAAAAGAAAGCTTCTTCTTGTTCGATATCTGTACAAATTTTTCATTAAAACCAAAGATTTTGTGTCTGTGATCCGTCAAGTTGAATTATCCTTACCTTACCAAACCAACTCAAGTTAAGCGCTACTGAAATAGAAGAGTTTCTTTGTCGAGTAAATGTATGCTTTACTACTATTGTGTGTTAATCTTAAATAGTATATTTAAGATTAACACACACCACCACTATTATATAGTAGACATGGAAATTATTGTTACTTTTAAATCATATTCATTTGATGAAATGATTCGTTTGATTTTACATGTGATTGTTATTTCGTCAAAGACAAAGACCATTAACAAAATCATAGTGAACTGTGATAGACCGGTGATTTATCATTTGATTGTTTCGTACGTAGGTTAGGTTTACCACTAACGCACGCGTTGTTGCCAAAAAGCTCTTTTCAGACGATGCATGAAGACCCTAGTAATTATTTTGTTATAAATAGCTACCTTTCCCTACATCATAAATTAAAAATAGGTACTAGATTTACTGTTAAATAGCATCAAACCTACCTAGCTAGCAACCCTAACCTACGTACAACAAACAAACAAACAAGTTTAATGAACCATCAAAGTTACATTTTGATAGGTGCTCTGTCTCCTAAACACAAAAATCTGTACACAAAAATCGAATTATAAATCACAGTTCACTGTGATTTTGTCCCATGTCTATTCCCTAGTATAGAGTTATCTGTGCACACCACAGACTAGCCATACTTGAGAGTTTGAGACCACAGCAAACTACTTGTCAGTGTCATAGTCGTCAGTCAGGAGTCACACACTATAACGATTAGTTTAATCACTATTATTGTATTTTGCACTTGCAAATTTATTTTTAAAGTAGTTCCCTAGTAAAAATATTTGATATAAAATGGAAATCTCGTTTAAAGGCAAAAGAATACTCGTAACGGGGGCAGGCCAAGGTAAAATTATTTTGATTTGTAGTTAAATTTTATTGAAATTTAATCGTAATTTTAGCTTAAATAAGCAAACTTAAATTATACATTGCATTCGTAACTTTAAGTACTTAATTTCATTACAGGAATTGGCCGAGGTATCGCCGTAGAACTGTGGCGTGCGGGTGCTAATATAGTTGCGTTGTCACGAACCAGAAGTCATTTAGAGTCTCTCCAGAGCGAATATCCCTCGATAGATATTGTAGATGTTGACATAGCTGACTGGGAGAAAACTCGTTCTGTGGTTGAGTCTTTGGGTCACTTTGACGCGCTTGTGAACAATGCTGCCGTGGCGATTTGTGAACCATTCCTGGAGTGCTCGCCTGCGGATTTTGATAGGTTTGCTTTGATTTGAAATATATTTGACGTATGTAGGCCAGTCCAAAGTACCATGCGGTAATTAAATATTGGGTATTTATGGCACTTGGATTGCAATTTCCTGTGTTGGTAATTTTTATGTACAAATATCCCACAACTGCACCGATGGAGTAGGGGTTTAATTCAATTTAATTCTTTATTCATTAAATATAAACATAACAGCATATCACTCACTGTGTGTCGATCCCCACATTTGTATCCCTAGTAATCCGTATGTAAAATTTTGTGATAATCGGATGAATGTCTTTGTCATCTTCATCAACAGCCCTAAACAGTCCACTGCTGGACATAGGCCTGTCCTTACAATGGAGGTTTTGGCCTACTATACCACAGTGGCCAGACGGGTTGGTATAGGGTTTGTTTAAAGTTTTCCTTCTTTTTGCATTGCTGTTGTTTAGCACAGTTTGCTTCTTTAGTAGGCTCTTACGGCACCCATGGGATGAATATGGGTGGTGACACTCCGTATTTTACATATGCATATGCGCTGTACTGTGCTGTGTAAATAACAAAATTCATCTTTTTGCAGAATGTTCAATGTAAATGTAAGGGCAGTGCTTAACATTAGTCAAGTTGTAGCAAGGAAAATGGTAGAAAATAAAACACATGGTGCAATAGTAAACATATCGTCTCAAGCTTCCAAGGTGAGTCATAACAAACTGTTTAATTAAGTGTAGAGTAACAACAAAATTAATACTAATATTACGAATTACTGGGGACTATCACCAAAGATAGCTATTTATTATTATTATTAAGCCTTTATTGCCAACATAGTTACACGTATTCATTATTAAATAGTTCAGTGTTAACATGCAATTAAATTAATTAACATTATAATTATATCAATACAATATTATTAATGTTATTATTATGCCGCAGTTATTGGGCGTCGGCGTGTCCTTGTGACACAAAGGCCTCCTCCAGCTCTTTCCATTCTGCTCTTGTTTGAGTTATTCTGGGCCACAGTGGACCCGCGTTCTTTTTTATCTCATCAGACCAACGTTTTCTTTGTCTTCCTCTTTTCCTTTTTGTTTGGAATCTAGGGGTCCATTCTGTTATATCTTTCGTCCATTTATTCCTATTCTCTCTCATCATGTGGCCTACCCATCTCCACTTAAGTGTTTTGGTTTTGACTACGACATCTTCGATTTTCAAATAGCTATCTATCTATCTATCTATCTATCTTGAAAGATAGCTATTTATGTATCCGTAACTAGCCAGTTACAGACCAATATTAAAAAAGTAATAATAACATTTAAAAATGGAACTCTTTGGCTCAAGAATACAATTTGTTTCATGTATACAGTGCAACCTCGATACAACAAATCGTAAGGGAACAAGTAAATATTCGTTTTATCAAGTTGTTAGTTAAACTGAGGTTTGTTATATTGAGGTTAGGTTGGTCTAAAGAGGTAAAAAAATGGTTTTATTCACCGCAACATTGCAAAGGTACTCATCTTGTTATAGCGAACTTCTAAAAAACAAAAAAGTACAATCAGGGTGCGTCAAAAGCTGTCTATAATATCTACACAGGTGATGAATCTTGGATATACGAGTATGCATATGATCCCGAAACTAAACAACAATCAACGGTTTGAGTGTTCCAAGATGAGCCGAACCCAACAAAATTCATTAGTTCAAAAAGCACTTTGAAGCAAATGGTCGCTTGTTTTTTTGGGAAAAATGGACATGTGGCTACAATGCCAAGAGGATCGTAAAATGGTTAATTCTGAATGGTACACGACCATTTATTTGCCAGAAGTCTTTGAAGAAATAAGAAAGAATAACTGTTAGTTATTTTTTCTTATGACAACGCTAGCTGCCACACATCGGCCGAAACAACTTAGTATTTGGAAGATCCAAAGATCGAAGTAACGAGTCATCAGCCGTACAGCCCTGACTCGGCCCCCCAACGACTTCTATTTATTCCCAACCGTGAAGAATAGATTACGTGGTCAACGTTAAGAGTCTGTTGATGCGTTCAAAATGCACGTTTAGGAGATACCACAATCAGAATGGAAAAAATGCTACAAAAATTGGTTGCAACGTTTGCAAAAGTGCATCGATCATCACGGCGAATATTTTGAAAAGCAATTAAATACTATATGTTTGTGGCTCACCGAGCCAACCTTTGCTCGTCGCAAAAAGGACCATTTTTGAGTCTAAATGTGGAGACCAGAACCCTCAACCAATAATATTATACATGCGAAAGTAACTCTGTCCCTTCTGGTTTTTAAATAAATTTGGCATGAAGACACTTTGATTCCAAAAGCATCCAAAAGCTATAAGATAAAATATAGGGCATGAAGGCCAAAAACTTCTAAAAGATGACGGTCCGGGAAGTGCAGTTTATGTTATCCATCAACAAGGTGGACTGACAACATTATCACATATATCCTTATTTTATCATATTTATATAAATAGATAGTTATCAATCAGCTATAATGCATAATGCTGTTAATCACTTTGCATTACCTGTTCTGAGAAGCCTTATCTACTTGTGAATACTTTTAGAGTATATTGTCAAACATAATAATGTTAGTTCCTTGTATATGTATGTTAACTCCACGAAAATTCAATAACGTCTATGACCTTTTTAAAAAGGTAATTAAGACAAATTTTTAATACTAAGCTTACATTATAAAACCCAGTTTCATTATCAATTTTCAGTGCAAAAACGTGGATTTTGTTGCGATTAAGCAGTTAACCCAATTCCATCGTCTTTCTTGGATGTATCCTCACTAATCTAACATTCCTACAAATCTTTTTAGGATTTTGAATCTGTATTTTTAAATTGCCACACTAGATAAATATTCACTTATTAAGATGAATGCATACAAAAATCTGGTTGTTAGCTAAGTGGGCGTAGGAATTGTCATGATAAAGAGAGAATGCGAGTATGCGCTTTATATACACATGTACAAACATGTAACATTTTAAAATAAAAATTCCGGGTTGAACAATTAAATTATATGCAAAAGATCTGCATTTAAAATAATGAACAGGTCTCACGCTTTACGCAAGCAAGAAGTTACAGTACAGTGCGTGTTAAATATACCTTCACTATGCTTCCACGTCTCAGACCTTTTATATATATCTACTTACTAGTCTATATGGTGACGGATTAAGAATACGGAGTATCACCACCCCTACTCGTCCCGTGGTGTGTAAGAGCCGATTAAGGGACCAAAATTAGGCAGGACAACAGCACTGCGAAGAGAAGAAAAACTTAATACAAACCTTATACAAACATATATGGCATGGTATAGTATGCCAAACCCCCTTTCTAAGGAGGGCCTATGTCCAGCAGTAGACTATTAAAGGCTGTTCATGATGAAGGTATATACCTACTTATTTAAACATTAATATTATGTTAAATGCTGTTTATCAGATCTTGAATATATTATACCTACTTATTTAAAAAATATTATGTTAAATATTTAGTGCTCATACATTTTATAATTGATGGTTTAGGATTTTTATTCGACAGAAATCTTTGTATCCTTTTGATGGTAATTTAATGTTAGGTTAAAAATGTTTAATTTTTCAAAACTCATAAATTACATTTGTTTAAATATCATCAATATCTACTTTAAACCGTAAATCTTATAAATTATAAAACACACGTTATAAAAATATTAACACTTTAATCTTGGTAGTTTCAAGGTAGTGAGGATTTATTGATTAAGTATCATAGGATTAATGATTTTACAAACACAAGTCTACAAGTGTACTGTAAAAAACTGATTGCTTTGAAACTACTTTTTAAATTAATATGGGAACGGGATTCTCTCTATCTTAGTTAGTTGCTTAGTATGATGTTTTTTTTAGTTTAGCCGACGCATTGCTATTTTATTACTTTAGCCGTGAGTGAGCCATACTTAAATATACCGGCTCGGCTAAAATTTACTCAAAGTGCTGCTACGCCATTGTGATTCTTGTATTGCAGGATGCCATGGGCGGCGGTAGTTACTTACCATCAGATGACCCGTCTGCTCGTTTACCCCCCTACACCATAAATAAAGAATTTAATCGTACATTGGGATAGTTATAGAGGTAGATAGTTACAGAGGCGGCAAATAATACTTATTCTAGCATAACTTTGATAAAATTAGGTACTTAATGATAGCAAAATGCAATAATTAAACAACATTTTACAACTTTTACAGGCTGCATTGCAAGATCACGCTATATACTGTGCGTCAAAAGCTGCTGTAGATGCATTGACCCGTTCAATGGCATTAGAGCTGGGTCCGTATGGTATCAGAGTAAATTGTGTAAACCCTACCGTTATCATGACTGAAATGGCTAAAGTTGGATGGTCAGATCCAGTTAAGGCTAATGAAATGCTTGCCAAGATACCTCTTAGAAGGTAAGTTATAATCGAATTATAATATTAAGACTAAAATTATGTTAGAAGTAATCTGTAATACTCATAGAACTAGGTCGTGACAATTAAGCGCTTATTACTTTGACTGACTACTTTAAGATGAAATGCAATGTATCACCTGATGCATGCTGCACAATTAGAAATAAAATTCATTTTAGGTCTTATGGCACCATGATTGGTAAAAGCTTTATATTAAGCTATTTCTTTACTCTCGGTATCCTTTAGATCCTTTAGAAGTATGAAAAACGCGAGCTTCGGCTCCTTGTTACTATTTAAGCAACCGAATACAATTCAATTGAGTTTGCCTTTATTATAGTTAACTACGACATATTAAAAAAAAAAACAATTGTGTATTATCTAAGTTTTTCTTGTCACTGAAGAAGTCATAGGTCATTATAAAATTATCTTCGTATCTGTATTGTGTATATACAGATATGAAAATAATATTATGAGCTACAATATATTTTCATTATAACATATTCATATTACTTTACGTTTATAAAAAAATTGTAGTCCAGTCATACTCATTGTTACATAAACTTTTGTCACCTCTATAGGAACAATATTTTCCTCTAGTCAGAGAACGGAGAGCCGTTTATGAACATTAGCCTGATGCTGATTGCAGTTCTGCATAGATGGCCTATTAGCAACTGGAATCATATTTAGTCACTTTATTATTCTTATAAATATTGGTTGTGGGCTCCGATTTCCGCATTCAAACTCGAGAGAGATCCTTTACGCGTCTAGAAGAGGTTGGCTAGGTGAGCCAATCAAGCTCCTTACAGGAGCGCAGAATCCTCCTGGGGCGTTCACAATCTTCTAGGAGCGATTTTGTACCAGGTATGGTACTTGCCCGTTGTGTAGCCACTCCCTCGCATTCCAAGATTACGTGGGGGGCCGTTTCTTCTGTTTTTATCCATCCTCTGCAAAGAGGACTGTCCGTCGCATTAATGATGAATAGTTGTCGGTTCAGGGCTAGTTATATGAATATAAAAACATCAGCAAGGTAACGAATTGTAAATTTTTAGAGGCCTTTTTAACTATTTTTAGTTTGGATTTTGTTTAGAAAATGACTTGATCTAGTACGTTCTTAATTAATAATTCAAGATAACAAGCCGTTCAAATCTCAGATCTGTTTTCATCGACGAATGATATTTCGTCGTGGGTTAAAATTTTGTTAAAATCTGCTCATGCTTATTACTAGTAATAGTTACTAAAATGCCATAGTCGAGCTCAGAATCTAACACGATTCAAAAAATAACATCTCTCGTATTCCCTTGTAAAATACACCAGAAAAAATGTTTTTAATCAAGACTTTTACAACGTAAAGCGCTATCTATGGGATCGTAAAACCTACTGATAAATGAATACTCACATAATTCAATGATAGAGATAAGACTCTTAATAACTGCACGGATGGCGTAGTGGTTTAAGCGGTCACCCGCCGCTTCCTACTGCGTCGAGTGTTGTATATATACATATACATATATATATATATATATATATATATATATATATATATATATATAAATTCCATTATTTGTAAAGGATTTATTTCCAGTGCAGGAACTGTCTTTTATTAAAAAAAATACGTGAAACTGTTTTGTTTCAGATTTGGAGAAGTTTCTGAAGTGGTCAATGCTGTAGTTTTTCTACTCAGTGAAAGGTCAAGTATGATCAATGGTGTAGAGCTGCCTGTTGATGGTGGTTTTCTCGCCACGTAAATTCTATTCACTGAGAACATTCTTCCTACATTACTAAAAGATAAAGTAACGACCTGGTATATTAAATATTTTTTAACAATCTGCATACTTATATTAATTTTAAGTGTAGGTATTGGACATTTAACCAAAGATGGTTTATTAACATGTATTGCCATAATTAAATGATTGTACTATGTATGTACATTGTGATATATTGTTATCAAATTGTGTTAATTATAACAATTTAAGCTTCAAGATGGTTGTACTGTTTTCCTAAGCTAATATTTTTGAAGTGTAAGCAGTAACACTTATTTGTTTGTTTTAAATAGTTACATACAAATGTAGTTTCTACATAAGACTTTGTAATTCATATACATTTTTAGATCTGCTTCATTCTCAATTATATAAGTGTATTTAAGGAGCAAATCACTAGAAGAGGAAAAACGGTGCATATGAATTGATTAGTCATATTAATGTACAAAGATATAACTAATTTTATTTACTTGAACAGTGTGTATAATTTGAATTATATTTATATTATCATTAGCACCAGTGAATACTACATTTGCAATCGGTAAGACCTTATAATTTCACTAGAGAGGTGAATACAGTTTACCTTAAGCCATTTCACCAAACATTATTTTTGTTAAATAAATGCGATTTGTTAAAATGTTTGTTATTATTACTGGCAGTGCACCTCGAAGAGTGATAAAGGCAATTATGGTTAAATAACGCTTTGGTGAACATACTTTTTTGATTATTTGTTTTTAAAATACATGGCAAATAGGCAGCCTAGCAGGCTGGTAAATGACTATTGCCACCCATGGATCTCTCATCATCATCATCGAAAGCTTTTAACAGTTTACTGCTGGACATAAGCCTCTCCTTAGAAAGGAGATTTTGGCCTACTATACCACGCTGGCCAGACGGGTTGGTATAGGGTTTGTGTCAAGTTTTCCTTCTCTCTGCAGTACTGCTCTGCGTAGTTTTTTTCCCTTAGTCGGCTCTTACGACACCCACGGGATGAATAGGGGTCCCTACCCATGGATCCCTACAGAGTCAAAATTGCATTGCAGGCCTTAAAGGTGAGAGTATGCTCTTATCTTAAAGATTTGAAGATCTTATCAGTCCAAATACTGCAGGCGATAATTTTGTTTTAGGGTAAAGCCTAACCTACATTTAACAGTTTTAGAGTTTAATATTTCTAAAGCACCTTTCAGTCTTGAACTCGTTCTACTAAAATATTGCTTTTAAAAATAAAGGAACTACATGAATGTCATGAAATAGGGATTCTTTTACATTGTTTATATTGATCAAGAAAGATACAATAGGACCAAGAGTTGCTATTTATCTAAGGGTCTGCTGTGAGTGAGTGTTAATACGTATTCATTCTATGAAGAAGCTTAAAATCTCTGCACTGAAATATACCTTAAATGTTACATCCTGAAAACGGGTTATGGATACCGTTTATCATCAAGGAAGTAGTATCATTATTTTAACCTAGTTCTAAGTTCATAATTTCATCAGAAGAAGGCACTTTAGTTTTTCGTATTGTAGTTTAACCGTTCATATCTGTTCCTACTTAAAATAAAAAAAATACATGCATATTCCCTATTAGGGAATATGCATGTATTTTTTTTATTTTTTTAAACGATTCTACTAGTTATTACATTACCAAAAATAAATATAACACATCCGAAATATAAACCGTTAAGCAAAAAAAAAATTATTAAAATCACTATCATTTTGGGGCAATTTGAACACGTCCATTTTGGCGCGCTTTTTTTGTGATGTCAGATTACACTTTCAGACGAATTCGATGTCAACAACGGAGTAAAGTTCACAAAGTTTGTGAAAGTTAAAAAGTGAGTAATTGGTATTGGTATTGGTATTGGTTGTGGGCCTCGGTTTCCGCATTTAGACTCAGAGTGGTCCTTTATGCGTCGGGGATTGGCTGACTAGGTGAGCCAGCCAAGCTCCTTCCAGAAGCGCAGAAGCCTCCTGGGGCGTTCACAGGCTTCTAGGAGCGACTTTATATCAGGAATGATATTTGCCCGTTGTGTGGCCACTCCCTCGCATTCCAGGACTACGTGGGCGGCCGTTTCTTCAGCTTCCAGACACCCCCTGCACAGGGGGCTGTCCGTCGCATTGACTATGAATAGTTGTCGGTTCAGGGCTAGATGTCCTGTAATAGTTCCGACAACCATTCTGATGTCCGGTCTGCTAAGACTGATCAGTCTGCAGGTGAGTCGTGGCGTGACTTGATTCAGCACCAGTTTGGACTGTCTGCAGCCGGGTGAGTTTTTCCACCTCCGGTTGTGTGCTTCACAGGTCCGTTGCCTGACCCAGCATCGTATTTGGTTAAACGATATGGGCAGAAGTGGGGTTGGGCCAGAGGTTGGGGTTGCCGATCCCCTCCTTGCCAACTCATCTGCGGCATCGTTCCCGTGTGAGTTACTGTGCCCTTTAATCCATTGGAGGAGTACCCCATTGAATATAGCGAGCTGTTCCAGTGCTTGGTGGCATTCGAGGACAACACCAGAGGTCATTGTGTTGCCCTCCAATGCCTTTAAGACGGCCATGCTGTCGGATATTATTCGGATGTTGTAGTCCTTGATACCCCTTGACATGGCCGTTGTGGCGGCGTAAGTTATTGCCACACATTCACATTGAAATATGGAGCTGTGTTGGCCTAACGCTAGTGATATGTTTATATTTAGGTCTTGCGAGAAAACTCCGGCTCCAGTTCCTGACCTAGTCTTGGAACCGTCCGTGTAAATTCGGACTTCGTTAATGCCGGATTGATCACGGTCATTTCCATGTATCTGGATGTAGTATCTTCTTGTGAAGATATGGTGTTTTGGGATTCTATCGCATGGAGCTGCTATCAGTGGTTCGTATTCCACCAATTGATCCCATAATTTAGAGTGCGATCCCTCCCTTTTGTGCCATAGACCCAGGTGTTTGAGTCTAATGATCGCCATGGCGGCCTCCTGCTGTATGAATAGATCCAGGGGTGGCAGACCAAGAGCCACCTCCAGTGCGGCAGTAGGCGTTGTGCGCATACAGCCAGTGACCGCGGAGCATGGGAGTCGCTGGAATTGCTGCAGTTTGTTTATGACGGTGCTTAGCTCTGTTCTCTGCCACCAGACAACAGCACCGTAAGTGATTATTGGTCTTATGACTGTCCTGTATAGCCATAAAGTAATTTTGGGTGATAGTCCCCAGCTTTTGCCGAGTAGCCGCTTGCATTGGCAGAAAATAATGCAGGCTTTATTCAGTTTTTCATCGAGGTGCTTATTCCACAGGAGTTTACTGTCCAGTATTACTCCTAGGTATTTGACCTCTTTGGTAAGAGTAAGTTGTGTTCCAAATAGCTTGGGAAGTCTGAGATTTCCTAGGCTGCGTTTGTTTGTGAACATGATCATCTCTGTTTTGGATGGGTTCACTGTCAGGTTGTGTGCTGCGCACCATTGTTCCACGATCTTCAGTGCAAGTCTCATTTGATCGCATGTAATGCTCTCAAAAGGACCGCTGATGAGAACGGTAAGATCGTCTGCATAGCCTATTGTGAGGAATCTTTGGTCATTGAGTTGTGCGATGAGCTCATCCACAACAATGTTCCATAGAAGGGGGGAGAGTACACCGCCCTGGGGGCAACCTCTAGCCACCACTCCTCTAGTCACTTCGCTCACAGTGAATTGTATAGCTCTATATCTTAGCATGCTGTCGATCCACCCAGATGGTCCAGTAATGTCGTATCAGACCATCTCAGTAGGCCTGGGAAGACACCATCTAGTCCTGGCGCCTTGAATGGTAGGAAGCTGTTAATTGCCCATCTTAGTTTGTCATGGGTGACAACTTTGCGGGCCGTATCCCAGTCTGTATCATCTGGTGGTTTTTCCCATCTGTCTTCCCATTTTTCCATCACATCTGATATGCGACATCCAGGGAAGTGTGTTTTTAATAACAGCTCTGAGGCTTCCGAGTCTGTTTTGGTATACTCACCATCAGGCTTCTTCAGTGAGCCAAGATTGTGTTCGCCTCTACTACACAGTATGCTTTTGACTCTATTGGCCTGGTTGTTGTTCTCTATGTTAGTACAGAAGTTTCTCCAGCACTCAGTTTTCCTGGTTCTGATTCTCTTCTTATATTGTTGTCGGGCCTGCGTGTAGGCATCCCAATGTTGGTCTAATCGCGAGTTTTTTGCTTTATTGAACAACTTTCTCACTTTACGACGTAGTCTTTCCAGTTCCGGACCCCACCATTGGTGTTTGTTCTGTGGTCCAGTTCTGGGTGTGGAAAGTGGGCATGTTTGTTCAAAGCAATCGATCAGTGTCTGTGTAAGGTTGACAACATGACTGTCAATGTCCTTAACAGTCCCCGTAGCGTATGTTGGGTTGATGCTTCGCAGATTCTCCGCAGTAAGATGTTCATACCGTTTCCGGTCCATCGTGCGGGGATTCCGTCGGGGATCGGGTAGTTTAAGTTTCATTTCAAAGTTAAATTTGATGCAGCGATGGTCTGAGCACGATGCTTCGTTCGAAACATGCCAGTTCGATATGTGTTGCGATGCGTGCTCACTTGCTAATGTAAGATCAATTATAGTTTGGGCCCTGGACGTGACAAATGTCGGCTCCGAGCCCACGTTGATAATGTTAAGGTTGGTTGATAATAGGAACGATACAAATTCCTCACCTCTCCGGTTGTTGCTCCTGCTGCCCCACAGCGCATGGTGCGCGTTGGTGTCGGCAGAGATGATCAGCCGATCCAGACCCTCGCGCTCGCAGTGGTGTGCCAGCGCAGCCAGCTCCGGAGTGGGGATGTCAGCATCGCCCGGCAAGTAGGCTGATGCTATCACCACGTCAGGCAGGTTTGATGAGGGTTCCTTTAACCTAACAGAGGTAAGGTCTCTGGAACAGAACTCGGTCATTAAGGTAGTACACGCATGTTTTGGTGTATAAATACAAGTGCGCGGGTTATCAATGGTAGTGTTGAGAAGTATCTTACCTCCAATATTATTTAGACCGCAGATCCTGCCCTTCCTAATCCACGGCTCCTGGATTAGGGCTACGGTGTTGGTTTTTACCTCCAGCTCTCTGCGTAGGGTAGCCGTTGCTGTATGGCTGTGCTGGAGGTTGATTTGGATGGCTATAAGGGTGTTATGGGGGGGTGCAGACAGCGCCATCATCGCTGTTCAGCATATCCTCTATGTCGTCGAGGTCACTCTCGCCCACCGGTAGGTCCTCCAACTCCTCAGGAGGTGGACCCCGGCAGGCTGTTTCCTCAACGGGTCTCAGAGGATCCCCTCCATTGCCGTCCTTAGGGTGTTGTAGGGCCGATCCTCCTCCTCCCTCGAATGGCTCCTCGTTTGGGTTAGTTGGTGGGGCGGGACGTTCATCAAGGAAGCGAACGTAGAGGTTACCCAGTTTGTAGTATACTCTACGCTCGCTAGCCTTGAGCTTCACGACGTCCTCTTCTGGGATACCGAGCACTAGGAAGAGACATTTCTTTTCCTCCTGCGCCTCGGCATGGTAGAGGGCCCAGTTGGCCACATTGTACTGGCTATTCTGGTACTTTAGCCTCGTTTGAATACGGACCAGTGTATCATCTGGTCCGATTTGTGGTACCAGGAGTCCAGCCTTGATCCTTTTCGGGATCTCAGACTGCCTCCTGACGACCAGTTTGGTGCCTTCACGTGGTGATGGGATCCTTACCAGGGATCGTCGAAGCCACTGTAGGGCATATTCGTCGTTGCACCACATCTTAAGGGCGCCCTCACTGTAGAAGGCCTTGCCCCTAAACTGTGGCGCAGCGACGGGTGCGCTTGACGTGCCGGGCGAGAAGATCTCCTCATCTAGCACGCCCTGCAGCTGGCCCTCGATGTCCTCTGCCTGTGCCTTGGTGAGGTCGTGGTAAGGCTCCAGCATGACCGCGACGCAAAGGTCATTCGCCTTTAGTGCGTCGGAGTAACTCGTGGAGCCGGTCTTTGGCAGCGGTTTGAATCGCTTGCCACTGCCCTGGGGAGTGCGAGACTCGTCCGGGCGAGTTCTTTTGACGGGCTTTGTATCACTTGAAGGTTTCCCTCCACGTGTCGCTCGTCTCGCCCGTTTACCCTGTCCAGGTTGACCCTGCCTAGAGGGTACTTTGGCCGCTACAGGCGTCTTGGCAGGTGGCGCCCCCACAGGAGTACACTTCCCCGTGGCTTGACTTTCGTCTTCGCCTCGGGGCAGCACGTCACTGGCGGGGGCAACGTGGGCCCCTTCGGGCCCTTCAGCGACTTCAAGCCGCTTACTTCCACCCGAGTTCAGACACCGTGCTTGCCTTTCCACTCGGGCTTTCGCCCTGTTGGCGTTACGGGTCTTCTTGGACGGGTTTGGTTTTTTCGACGCTCTCTTCTTTGTCCTTACCAGGCTCCAGCCGGTTTCTTCCAGGCCGGGTCCCGCAGGTACGGGCATTGCTGCCCTCAAAGAGGAGAGGTCGATGGTCGACACTGGCTCCGTATTCTGGTTAGACACCAGAGGTGTCGCCAGAGTCATGGATGGCGCTGCGGTCGGGTTGTTTGCCTGAGCAGCAGCCAATGGTGTATTTGCCGGATTCACCCTTGGGTTGTTCACCCTGGGGTCAGCCGATTGGTGGTTTAGCCTGGCACTTGGGTTGTTCACCCTCGGTAAAGGCTTGGTGGTTTTTTTATTAATTGGTTTTTTAGTATCCATAGTTGTTTTGGTATACTATTCATCTCCTTGTCCTTCCACCCTCCTTGGAGCCCTCAAGTGGGGACGCCGCGGCAGAAGGCACACGACGCCAGAAGTGACAAGGAAATATAGAGCTCCCTCCCTGGCAGAAGGCAGGCCGAACTAGGTAGGAAGACTTGGTCGTCCCACCCGTCGTCCACCCCCACCAAAGAAGAGCTCTCGCCCAGCAGCCCTCTGACGGGATACTACAGCCGATTGACCAAAGGTGGCTAGCCTTCAGCCTCCCGTGTAAAGAGAAATCCAGGCCAAAGCAGTGTGTTGCCTTTCAGCTCAACTACCAGGATCCCTTCATCCTCCCTTACGGGTCCCCGCACACGGCACAAACATGCGGGTGGTTGCCCCCCCCTCCCCCTCACTCTCAGTCTTTGTTGATAGTGAGGCCGCAGGCACCAACCACTTAGTGTCCGCAGTAGGTGTAGATGGGATAGAAAATGGGAAGGGATAGGTTTTGTGGGATGGAATTGCGTCTGGGTGTTTCTGTTATATCTGTTTCGTAGGGAATCAGACCTAAAACAGGCGGCAACCACGGGAAGGATGACACCCAGACTTGCCATGGGGATCTACACGACTGTTGCGCTCTCCCCCATGACCATTCGCCGTGTACGCCCTCCGGACAGGAGGGCGTACCAGGATTGGATCTGCTCCAGGCGATCTTGGCCTATTGGAGCACACCCAACCCCGCCCTAAAGTGAGTAATAAAAATTAACTTATTACCATGGAAAAGCCAATAAAAACTTATTATTAATATTGTGCCGTTCCTTTGTGCCCAAATAATATAACTGCACCTGACAAAGTATATTCAGTCATTGTGTTGTCTTTCTACGCGGGAATTTAATAATTTAACACTGAAAACGTATTAGTTATTAACTTAAAATGAAACAAATAATCACCAGAAACCAAATATTACAAATACACACAACTTGTTGACACTCTTGACAGTGTAGGTTGACGTCACATTTTATTCAACCAATAGCGTTGCGTTTTAGAAATTTGCGAGGGAATCTTAAAAAAGCCAATTTTTGATGATTAAATTTCACTATTAAATTATAATAAATTTCAAAAATAATTGTATGGGTATCTTTTTTTAGCAATAAAAATTACAAATAAAAATATTTTGTCCATTTTGGTGTCACGTGCATATTCCCAATTGTAAGTTATAATTAATTAAAGACGTTGATGAGAGACATTCGAATTAAACGGAGTCTACTAAGAGCCACGAGTGCGTTGTCGCCCTTTGAGTCCCTCCCCCTCGAATCAGAGGGAGAGGAGGTTTGGGCTCCGGTAACCTCACCAGCATCTAACAATTTGATAACTAACAGTCACCCTACCATTTTTTTTTCATTTGTGTAAAATTACTGCCTCCCTACTCGTTTCTAAGGAGAGGCCTATGTCCGGCAGTGGATTAGTAAAGGCTGCTGATGATAATGATGAAAATTACTGCAATGTAACCCGTCACTGCTTTTGATTGTAGGTACGTTACGCTGCGGGTAAGCTGACCTAATCTTTATAACTCATAATCTGGCAAAAATATTTCGGGCACAAGAACCTTAATTGTTACACGCTTTATATTAGCTTCACTTGTATGTTTGTAACCGACTCCTTTGGGCGTGATTTTGACTGACTTTAAACGGTCAGAATTCGTTCAAACTTTGTAGATATATCGAGGACCGATGACAATACACTAATTAAAAAATATATATATATAGTTTTAAAAAACTAAAAAACACGCTTTCTATAGAAAACCAAACTAAAAAATAGAAAATAAATTTGAAAAAAAGCGTTGGGTGCCTGTTATCAATAGTAAAAAGCACCTCATTCAGTCAGTTTCTATCTGATAATTGTACTGATAAAATGTTGTTTGCAAACAAGATATTTATAATTCAATTTAACCTCAAATTACTACTGTGATATATTTACCTACGAGTATATGCCACTTATATTTGACTGCAACAAGAATTTATAATTTAGGTATACCCGTATCTGTGATCTACTCAAAATTTATAGGAATAATGTTACTTCAAACGAACATAAATGTTATCAAGAAGTAAATTAAAAATAATAGGTAATTGAGATAACTGGCTATTATCTATCACTAGCGATAAATATAGGCCTGCAATAAATCATTTTGCTCTTTCTGTAAATAAACTTGAATGAATAACAAGTGTGTTCAATAATGGATAAATATTTTAAAGGAAAGCGAATTCTCGTTACTGGCGGTTGCCAAGGTAAGTAGGTACATCTATTTATAAGAAATTTGCCTATGTACAGAGACCGGCAAACTCATGTATGAATCGAGTAGCCTAATAGCAATTATTACGTAGTTGAAACCCGTGTTTCTTATATTTTATATACATATTCAGATATAGAGTTGGAGGCAATCACAGTGTAGGTATCTAACATGACTACCATAAGCAGCGAAAGTGCAATTTTTTAAAGTAGACATCGTGGACGTATAAAAAAAGTCTGACGGAGTTCTCGCTAATACAAAACTGAGGCATCGTAATGGCGACAGCTTTGCGTGTGGGAATGACTTTTGAGGTTTCCAAGTTACCCTAATTTATGCCCTAAAAACACAGTCAATAAATTGAAATATTTTATTTCTTAGAAATTTTACTGTTTAATGTAATAAATGCTGGGTCATTTTTTTATAATAATGTCTTACTTTGAGAGGTTCTTGAAATTTCCTCTAATTTCGTGATGTGGTTAAACAAGATTTGTGTGAGAATATGTTTGCGTTGTCTTTATTTTTACAATAACAATTTCTAATTATTTGAATGGAATTATTTCTCCATACTCCATTATCCTTAGAAAATTTAGTAAAAGTATACCTGGTAGTAACTATTAAATAAATAACCTTAATAAATTGATTTAAATAACAAACCAAAAATTGCCTTTGTTTTGGGTAATTGGAAACACTGGGCTGGAATAAATAATGAATTCTTTTGTTCTATGTAGCGAATGCTGATTAATTTATCTTAAAATCTGGAAATAAGTAATAATAATAAATTTCCAAAAAAAATGTGAAAATCACTGAGATACACATTCAAGGTGTCAAATTCCCAAGAGTTGACATGGCTCCTCGACCTAAGTTTCTGGTGTCGTCGTGGCAATGTAGGATTGAACGTCGTTTTGCTGAGGCAAGGGTACTCATTGGCAATGCTTCGATTTGGGCGCAGTGTTGTTCTAGTGCCAAATTTAATTTCATAGTCTGATATGAGAATTACTGTTTATGTTTATTTTTACTAAATTAATTCTTTCTGCATAAGTACCTATAAGCTGGTAGTGCCCATTACTCGCCTACATAAGGTACATAATTTATTCAAGGGCAATTGTATGAATTTCTATAAAAATCACAAACAGTTTGAAAATCCCAACAGAAATGTTGTCCTTAATAAAAAAAAGGCTGAAACTATTCGAATATCAAAATCTTGTACTTAATTAAAGACATCATAGAGATTAAGAATACAGTGTGTTACCACCCCTATTCATCCCGTGGGTGTCGTAAGAACCGACTAAGGGAGCAAACTACGCAGGACAATTAAAAGAGAAGGAAAACTTGAAACAAACCCTATACCAACCCGTCTGGCCAGCGTGGCATAGTAGGCAAAAACCTCCTTTCTAAGGTGAGGCCTATGTTCAGCAGTGGACTAGTAAAGGCTGTTGATGAGAGATTGCCAGTTTTAAATATAAAAATTTTAAACTCAAAAATCATCAGTTTCGAAGAGTTGTTTTCTTATTAATTATCTCTTTTAGTGTAAAATGAGTCCACACGCTTCATGCGTAGAATGAAGTACAATGTGCACGGAATAATGCGACTTTGAGCTTGCAAGCCTGCGAGCTATTGTGTTAGCACGTACAGGCTGCGCCCTTCGCTCCCGTGCGGTCATTATTATCCTTGAGGTTGGCAGTCAGATTCAGCCCTAGATATTTGAATTGGTTTACTCTCTGAAGAGGAACATCGCATCTCAATAGGTACACTACTGCTGACGGCCTCAGAGACCATAATCTCACTCTTTTTTGCATAGTATATAAGTCCATGCTGTAATGCATACCTTTCGCAAATCCCCAACAGCTTACTAAGGCCACCACCTAACTGAGGCTTCCCATGTCGTCCGCATAGCTTATATTATTTAAGCACACTCCATCTATATAACAGCCTACCCTGGTCATGCTACGATTCGCAATCATTCACGTACAGAATGAAGAGCGTGGGCGATTTCAACTCTCCTTGTCTCGCCCCGCACTCTAACTCATACGCATCAATTCTGACCCCTACTCATCTGACACTATTGCTTAGCTTATGACACTATTGCTTAACTTAGTAGCGCACTTTTGCGTAGTTTGCTCCCTTAGTCGGCTCTTGAGAGGTCGAGAAATCCAGTAGGTATATTACTGGACAGTCTACTTAAGACACAAAATAGCGCTGTCCGTAGACAATCCGTGCCTGAATTGGTTGTCATGTAGTCTTATACTTTTATTTAACTGCTTGTTAAGCAGACCGTCAAATGCATTCAAAACAATTGCCAATAATATAGGCCTAAAGTTATAGTCCATATCGCCAGTGTTTAACTACAGGTACCACCAGCGTTTTCAACATCTCAACAGGTAGATATGCATGTCTCATGCACAATGCAGACAACATGGACAGTGTGCTGGCTTTCCAAAATGAAAGCCACAAATAAGTTAAATTAAGGTGTTAATTGCATTTTTTTTATATAGGCATCGGCCAAGGTATAGCCCTTGAGTTATGGAAGCAAGGCGCGGACGTCGTCATCATATCTAATCAACCGGACAATTTAAAGACTATTAAAATAGAGTATCCGTCAATCGAAACAGCATGCGTTGACCTCCGTGACTGGGACAAGACCAGAGATGTTATCAATTCCTTGGGTGTGTTTGATGGTTTAGTAAATAATGCAGGAATTGCCATAATTGAACCGTTTTTAGAATGTTCACCAGATAGTTTAGACGAGTGAGTATACAATTATTCATTCATTAGACTCAGTTTGCCATGTAATTTTCTTATTTGATTTGTTATGCCTTATATTTGTATGTAGGTAGATAGGCACAAGTAGTTTAAATCTTATTTACAGGACTATATCAGTAAATGTCAAGGCTATCCTGAATGTAAGTCAAGTGTTGGCGAAAAAAATGATAGAAAACAAGATTAAAGGATCTATTGTGAACATATCCTCACAGGCTTCGAAGGTGAGTTTTTATAAATATAATATGTGTATTCTTTTAATTATTCATAATGAACTGATAAACTTACTAGTATAAAATATACACAACTTGAACGAACATTTTCGCAACCGCTGCGGTCAACCAAACCTATGAAGTAGTTTGGCCTGGAACCGACTTTTTAATTAGCTAAAATTACCCAGAAATATTTGACAACCAACAAATATGTCGATCCTTTGTCACAGTGACACTAGATGCATTTTTTTCAATGTAAATACGCGATAATCCGTGTATATATTGTGTCATCTGCTTTGACAGAGCACTACCATCGCAGGTCGCAGATTTTTGACGGAGACGAAAGAAAATCACATCTGTTTATATTTCTAGTTGTTATACTGTGTAACAACTAGGAATAAATAAATAATATTACATTTTTTAAATGGTGACGATTTCTTGTAATACCGCATAGTAGAACAGATGTGATTTTTTTGAAGTAAAACTTTTTTACGCACGCTTGACTTTGGAAGTAAGCTGGTGAACGAGAGCGATACGAAACGTGTGATCAGGCGAGGCGAACGGAAGTTGAAAGGTAGATATAAGTCAGTGAAAATAGGAAGAGAGATCGTTACGTTTCGTATATTACTGTAGGAGAGAGAGAGGTGCGAGCACACATTTTCTTTCTCTCATAGCCAAGAAGTTTTATTTCAGACGTGTGATCTAAAGCACACACTTTTTTTTGTCTATCAATGTGTGTTATTCTAGTCTAACAAAAAGTAGAACAACGGTGAATAGAACGTCGATTCGAGGGGCTTGTTGCGAAAGCAGACCCCAACCTAGTTTGGGTAAAGGCTCGGATTATAAGGATATGGATATGTTGTCGATTCAAAACCCTTATTTAACGTTATTTAATTTGAAGACATCCAAATTTTATCGCACCGACGACGGGAAGGACATCAAATGTTTGATAGAAAGGAATATTTTGTATGCGAAAATAAAATTGTTTACACTATTTTCCTCCCAGTTTTTCAATATTTTCTCACCGTTCTAACTTTCTCTGGGCTTCCACAAAATTTTTCAAGACTAGCTGGTCTTGCCGTTTTCGAGTTTTATCGAGACTAACGAACAGCCATAAGCTATTTTACTCTATATATAAGAAAAAATCGAAAAATATTGAGATAGCTTAGGTATAAACAAATCAGCAAACGATAGTTTTAGTTAATGAAATAACAATTTTAATACTGTGAAATAGTCTCAGAGCGAGAATGTTATGAATACGGCTGTGTAAACTAAAAGAGTCAGTGGCAACTGATCGTATTTGTTTACACAACCAATTGACGTCATGCCCACAGAACAATACGGCGTCCACTGCGTGCAACGTTTTTGTCAATGAAGCGCGAAATCTAAAAATGTTAAATTTAAATACTCATAATATCGATTCATTAAAAAAAAAGTGTTGTTTATTGGGTTTTTAAGCACTATAGAATCTGTTTGTGACAATAAAAAGAATGAGTACCTATAATACCCTATTCGTTTTTATATTAAATTGAAAACTCGATTGATGAGTATTGATGCACATGACCAAGGCAAAAACAATAACAGAACCGGCTGTTAACGAGCTTAGTAGTTTCAGGACTGTTGTAAGCTATTAACAATAATACCGATATAATAATATTTATTGTATTGGTATACTATATTATAAACTCATTGCTACTTAATAGAGAATGTATGAATATGAATGTATGTTTGTCAATGTATCAGTTTCAAGGTAAACTGATCAAATTGTAGGAAGTGTACTGTAATAAAGAAAAGCGTTATACAGTATGTACACTATAATGTGTACAGTGAATTTAGTCTCGAGAAATTTTTGCATATGTAGTGGTGTGTATATTACTCAGATCTTAGAGCGCGTTTCCACTATATCGTTCTGGCCTATACAAAAATGTTTCGATATCCTAACATTACTATTTAATTTTATACTTATCCCTAGCAACACTCTGATTTTTGTTTTCAATAAAAACAAGTTTTTATTTTAAAGAAAAACGTTTTGACTTTATAAAAAAAAAGGTGTGTGTGCGATTCACACACGATAGAAGTGAAACTTCAAAGAGGAGAGACCGATATTTTTTTTTTTTTTTTTTTCCTTTCATCAAGGTTTTTAAAACTCCGGGGGATCTACGGGGGGGTCAAAATTTTTGTTATTTTTGGCCTAGGACGCACCGTTTCCGAGATATTTCAATCTAAAGCAAAAATTCGTCACTTGATAGTGGAAAGTGGAAACACGCACAAAACCAGAATAAACCAGTTTACGCTGTCCGCCATACACTACTACAAACGCAAAAATTTCTCCAAGCTAATTTACCTGTAGATAATCGTATAATACTTAAGGGAAGTTTGATTTTATTTAGGTATAGGTACTTATTGCATTTGCACTCAAGATGATTTCTCGTATTTTACTACAGGCTGCTCTGATTGATCATGCTGCATACTGTGCTTCTAAAGGTGCAGTCGACTCTCTAACCAGGGTTATGGCCGTGGAATTGGGACCACATGATATTCGTGTAAACACAGTTAACCCAACAGTTATAATGACGGACATGGGTCGCAAGGTTTGGGCAGCACCTGAAAAATCACATGGTATGATGTCAAAAATACCCCTTGGAAGGTAATTTAATTCATTGACTTGTAAAGACATTGTACTATAAGAGTAACGTAAAGTAGAGTGGCGGTAACCGATCACATCGACATGAACGAAAACGCTAACACGTTTAAAAGCTTACAGTTTTTTTTAAATGATGTTGCCACAGACCTGGAAAAAGTTGAAAAATATAAACGAAGATTAAATATTGGAACATGCCAATTATTAAAATAAAATATACGTAGTATTAGTAGTTACGCAAACTACATAAAAACAACAATTAACATCATAAAATGCCAATGGTGCGAATTCTAATGTTTGAAAACTCTCAAAACTAAACTAAAAATCACTAAAAAACATTTTTGTCCTGTCAAATATTATGTTTTCAGAATAGGAAACGTTGTTTGATAGAACTAAACAAATTTTTCGTGATTTTAAGTTTAGTTTAGAGCGTTTTCGAACAATAGAATCAGTACCATTATTTCACCACCTTGCGCTCAAAAACTATGTATAATTTAATAATCATTTAGTAAAAAAATATTTACCTAGGCACTAGTAAAGGCACTATGACCTTTAGAAATGAAATTTGAATGATGAGTTGAGACTAACGAGTGGGGATTCCATTATTGTAAATTATAACTGCCTGAACTCAAACGACACACGTCAGTAAAAGATCGGTCGGTACGATTGCCTAACATGTTAAACACAGTATTCACCCCGATACATATTTCCAGGTTCGGAGAAGTACATGAGGTGGTCAGTACAGTGTTATTTCTACTGAGTGACAGCGCGAGTATGATATCAGGTGTTCATCTGCCCGTCGACGGGGGTTTCCTAGCAACTTGAAAGATTTGAAGTGATTTTCAATAAAGCAAAGAGAAAAGCTTTTGTTATTTTATTCAGTTTATTGTGCCAAAGGAATTTATACATACTGGATATAGAAAACAATGCAAGCATAACAATTTATTTATAATGCATATGCTAAGACAGGCTAGCACATATGTACGTGAGAAAATATACCACATAATAACGTAAATAAAGTAACGTGGTTGGAATACAAGAAATAATTCGTCTCATGTTATATAAGTGCAACTCGCCGTCGTTGGAGGGAACAAAACATTTAAATTCCAGTTACGCCACAAAGCCACATTTTCCTTCTACGATCATAATTCATCCTAAAACTACAAATTTCAATCGTCCCCTCCTCCACATATCGTTAAACGAAGAACAATTATCGGATGGACACATTTTCGATCCAGAACACATATCAATCGGATGTGACACGTATCTACAAACAATACGATAACAGCAAAATAATTTCATCGACATCAATGCTACAACAGTTACGTTTGTATTTATTTCATTACCTAGAATATTGTAAAAAACAGTGTGTCTGCTTACCTAAGTCTTAAAATTATTATTTACAAAATTAAGTCCATAAAGTCTTTCGTCGTCTATAGCGTACACTTAAGGTTAAGAGCAAGCCACCTCCCCCCGCCAAGCATGAGATACAAGTTGCGCACTCCACACACACGACGACAAGCGCACCAGTACTCGCCTCACTCAATCTGCGTTTCTGGCGACACATCACTTTTTATTCAACACATCGTTGTCTTCTCCATGTACATTTGAACACGAAAACATCTAATATACAATAATTAATATACATTCATAACAATTAGTAGCACAATATTATTCAATATTTGCCTACTAACATAATATGAACTCTCTTTAATGAGGGCATTTAACTAAAAACACTCAATATTTATAAACGCTAACATTACACTGATATCGACCTTGGCACAGCATTGAAAATGAAGTGTGTCATTTGTGTAAAACCATTGAACTGATCCATAATTCAAACGTGATATTCTCAAAATGCTATTAATTACCCTGTAGATCTAATTAATATTGGAGTAAAACTTGGAATAATGTGGTTAAAATTATACAATCAAATTGAGTAGTAACATAATCGCTACAATATGGCTATAATGTTATATTCTCAAGTGCCTGATCAAAAATAAAGCTTGATGATTTATTATCCTAAACTAAACGCCTATACAATATCATGAGAACTGGTTGATTTCAATCTCCCAAACCTTTGCATTGCAAACCCCTGAAATGAAATTTAGTATATACCATATTTACATAGATTGAACCTAATTCTCAGTCATATTAAGAGGTGATGGCGGAAATTTACATATATTTTGCATTACAGTTAAAACCCATATATATATTTACAAATCAATAACTTTAGTTTATAACATTAGCTAGATATTGACAGAGAACAAGATGTATTTACTGCTTTTCATTGAAAGCAAGTGGTCAAAAGAAATCTCGACAGAATATGAGAATGGTAACAGATTTAATTGAACTAATGCATGAAAAATTTGGTAATTTACTTGAGATCATACATTTCTCGAAGTTCTTGCTCAGTGACTAAGAACGGAAAATAATATATAAACGGGAATGCAGTCAAATCTACATCACGCCGATTTATTGTAAAAAACATTTAAAAAAACAGGTCTCCAAATTGTTTCTAATAATCTTTAAGGTATAATATATTACAATAGAAATAATATGTTTTGTTTTTAATTAACAAATATTTTGTTTGGAGTCTCAAGAAACAGCATTATTTTCGAATCATCTTACCTAGATAAAACTATAACATTGTCCAGAAATAATTTTCAAGACTGAATCCATTTTAGGCCATCTGTACATAAGCGAACACACCATATAGGAGAGCTCCTCATTTATTGAAACTCACAAGAACAGACATTCATGTGTCACATGCTTTAGTTTATATCATTCAGCACTAAAATAGGAAGTTGGTTTTACGTAAATCAACTTGGAAGACAAAATGCTAAACTCAATACAACCAGTATTGAAAAAAACTAATTCAAGAAAAAGTTATTATATTGCACAAAATAACATGTCTGAATATGTCACTTGAGTTATTGAACAGCTATCAGTCACCAATCAAAGTGATTTAGTAAAATTTAAAGCCTCCTGATAGGATCCATTTGTTAACATTTCATTCCACAAAAAATCGGCCTTAAGGATACTCTTTTATATTAAATGTTAATTACGGCATGTAAGTATTAATGAAACTTTAGAAAGAATAGGTAATCTTAAAAAAAAGATTTAGTAAGTTGCAATAATTTGCTTCTATATAAAAAAAATTAGACAAATCACATACATTTTTAATCTTCACTCAAAAGTAGTCTTTCCAAATACAATTGGAATTCTTGCCTAAATTCTTGCATGTTGTAATTGTTAAAAAATAAAGTTTGCAAGGTACTTAATCTAAAGTTGCATGAGAAGTAACGTTGCGTAAACTTCTAGCACGAAACGTCACGCTTGAAACATTTAAGCCCTTCGACCGATTTTTTAGGATCAACTGATATCTTACATGTAACCTTAACGAATCATAGAACATGTATCTTACATCTAAATATAACTGAGCATAAAGTAGAACGACGCACGGATAGGCCTGTCAATTTACTCTACGCATAGAGTCACACTCGAACGACGAGAACTCAACTTCGCGGCCCACTAATTATCACTTATTCTATAATTAAATAATTTACAATAATATGAATGTTGACACGAATGCATACAAAATCGTTTTCTTACTTTAGTACAGAATCTATTCTCGAAGCGTCGGGCGACGTCGACGCCGGCGCCTCGATTCCTACCGCGCGGTTCGACGACGTGACAGTCGTCGCTAGAACACACCGTCATAGAACACGTGTATATCGAGCCCGTCGTCGTTCAGACGAGCGGACCGTGCAGGTCACAGATACGAACGACGCTCCGGAGGGGTGGGGGCGGCGCGGCGGCCGCCTCACCGCCACTCGGAGATGGCCGCCACCGTGGTGCTGGGCTGCCCGGCCGCGCCCGCCGTGCCTGACGCCACCGCGCCCACCGCTGCCGGGAAACGCTCACATATCATATTCATCTCTTCACCCAATATCGTAATTAAATAACAAGATTTTTAACTGTTCTAAAACATTAATCAATAGATGTGATTTGATCTCACCTCATTAATTTTAATTAAGGTATATCTCAAATGATGCATTTGAGATATACTATATGATTTGCACAATACCGTGTTATGTGACATGTCATCGCTTGCTTCAAAAGGCGATTTTCTAGAAACGCGCACAAACTTTAGCTTGATTACATATTATTATGATTAACAATGCCAGTGATTTGAATATATGTGTAATTATTACAAAGATAGCTATGTTCACTAGATGGAGATTGCTATGTATGTTCCATAGCAATCTCCAAATTTCTAACCATGTTTATCCACAAAGCAACTTTGAACCAGATTCACATGGATTTTGGTTTGGTTCAAACTTGCTTTGTATGTTCTCTTCTTGACTGAATAGTCTGCAAAGATAGCCACTGCGTATTTTTTTAAAGTTAGGGCGGACAAGAAAGTTTGTATGATCTACTTACTGTTTTCTTGTTCCTGATTTTGGTCATGACGTCTTAGTGTACGGTCGTTGCCCCCTGACTGATAGTTACCGCGTTGCCCACCTGAAAATACATAAACAACATGAATTTAATTACTACTTATGTTCTATAGAAAGGTTAAAACAATCTTATTTATCAACTATAAACGGTTTCACTCAAGTTACGTTTTTCGGGGATAATAGATAAGTTGTGGAGAAGGCGGAAGAATATTCAACGAGTGAAATGACCTTTCAGATGTCAAGCATTACTGAATACTCATTTCTCCTTAATAAATTTTTATTCCTATTATTTATGTTGTTAACATTATTTTATTTGCTAGAGTTATTCTAAACTTTTATTAGGAGTATAGGAGCCCGAAATACATCTTACCAAATTTGAGCATATTCCAATCAAATACATAATCGTATGTGAATCCTTGTCGATGGAAGAGCGTGCGGAATAACTGACGTAGGTGGCTGTAGTCGGGTCTTTCTTCAAAACGAAGCCGTCGGCAATACTTCAAATACAGTTGAAATTCGATAGGATGGTTCTGAAATTTTTTTAAGGGCATTTCATTTAAGAAAATTATATATTCCGTTTTATAGAAAGTACTAGCAAGTTTAAAGCATAGAGATCAAACAATTGAATTGGTGTCTTATACATTTTCATCAATAAAATATTGAATCAAAACATAACAAATGAAATAACAAAACCCAATTGACTTTGTTGCAGAATATGATAAAATTATGCATTAGATGTAAGTAGATGTCTCACTCAATATGAAGACCTTGATAAATATAATCGTTTTAATGTACATTATAAAGTGTCTACATCACGAGCTTGGTATATTGGAAAATATAGAAATTACATGATGTATATTTAACAATCTTTTCTCTTTTCACCTTCTTGGGGAAACAGAATCATTGAAGAAATCTTCTTGGTATTGAGAGAATAATTATGTTCTATATACATATTGAAGTAGATATTAAATACTATAATAGTTATGACATTGTACTAACATTTGCCTTTGAAATATTAAAAATAAATCTTACTTTGCAAAGTTCGTCAAACGGTGTGGACAGTTTCTTTTCAGATATTCTTTCGTATTTTTGGCGTTTGGTGGCGGCTTTGAGTCCTTGCCAGGGCAGACTTCCACGATTAAAATACATGAGTACATATCCCAATGACTCCAGATCATCGCGGCGCGATTGTTCGATGCCTAAATGTGTATTTATTGACGCATATCTGGCCGTCCCTGTAATTTTGTAGTTTCATAAATTAGCCTTTTAATTACTTTGAGTTCTATATACTGAAGCTTACGAGCAAATGAATACTGACGATGAAAAATATAATGTAGTTTACATTTTCACTTCAATTATTTGAACGTTAATACATAGAAATTTTATTTTAGAAAAGAATGGACTAAGTTAAGACTCGAGAGAATCAAATCTTTGGTTCTTAATGACAAGGTTCAAGTTTTACAACCCTCATACAGTACAATTCATAGCACATTTTGAAGGTTATTTAAGGTTATTGGCAGAGCCTGTGTTGACTTACATAAAATATTCACACTTCATGTAATTGGTTAAATTATAAACCTATATAATATTAATACTCTCAGACAATTAATTTTAGTTGCCCCCACAAGGTGGTACGACAACATGGTGAAGGTCGCGGCAAGCCGGTGTTTACATGCAGCACAGGACCGATTGTTGTGTGTGGAAGGTCCAGAGGAAGCCTATATCCAGCACAGGGCGTCTTTCGGCTGAGATGATGATGATTTTAGTTACCTTGCTATACATATAACATTTAACACAACTAAGGTTTAGGAATTGAACTCAGATAGCATTAGACTCCATTGGACCAAAGACTTTTTTTTAACAGACCTTTTTTATGTTTCACCAATATATTAAACTTAAAAGTCTAGCTTAAATGTAACTGACTCTAGAAGTTTTTTGAAACAAGTTGAGCAACTATAGTAAAAGAGTACCATGATTAATGTTAAAAATGTTACCTGTTAAGTTTTTGTTTTCTCTGTAAGGTATATGTTGCAGTGTGCGTGCATCTTTGTACTTTTTTGCTAAGCCAAAATCTATTATGTACACTAAATTCCCCTTTTTGCCTAGGCCCATTAGAAAGTTGTCTGGTTTGATATCTCTGCAAATAGAAAACAATCACATAGTGTTAAATTCAATAAAATCTAAGTTAAATAATGACAAAAAGATAAGATCATGTATCCACACTTGCCATTATTTTATGACTATATTAAATTACGGTGGAATTATCTGAAACCTTATAAAACATATTTAAAAATTGTTTAGCACACATATCTGAGTAAAAATTAATCATAAATCTTCAGTGCCACAAGAAAGCTCTTAGTATATGTATGTAAACAGGGAGTAATTTATCTATAACCTTTTGATTGACCTAAGACTTAGATACCTAATCAGACAATAATCATACACAAGTTTTTATCAAAATATAAAAAATGATATAAAGTATCAGGAGCAACATTTAAAACATGAGTATTTTCGAATGATATAGTTGGAAAACAAGTGTTTCAATGAAGAACAAAGACACAGAGTTTGAGAATATTTTGTTGCACCTATGACGGATTCAGGCATCTGATTCTGAGATTTTTTAAGCTTTGGCTAAGTACATAGTATATAGGTACATGAGATTTAGAAAGTGTGCTCACTGCAAATGAAGTCCCAAGACATTTAATTATTATGCATTCATTCAAAGCTATGCAAGGAAAGCTGGAAAGAATACAGTGTCTCAGTCACTACCCTAACCCTCTGTGAAAGACACTCGAGGTTGTGTTCAAGTGTGCATTGCACTTAAACTGTTACTATGCTTTTTCATATTATTTCTTATTCAAATTAGATTAATACTCGTTCGTCATTAGTTTGTATACTGTACTATGTAGATACATAAATTTATTTCTATACTAAGGAGGCCATTCAATGTAATATTGCCTAATATACTTTGGACATTATAAAAACAGTAATTTGTAAGAAATTACAAAAACATGAAAATATTTACTTTTAATAAGACTAGACTGGACTTAGTGTTTAGCAAGAAAAATATAATGTTACTTAAAGTTTTGCATTTTACAGTAACACCTAGTTTAATTTCTTAACTAAATATTCATATTTTAGTCTGCATAATTTTTACTGTAAGTAGTTATGTGCATACTTATTATCTCACATATTCTCATAATATACTAACATGGAAGAAATTTAAAAAAATAGATTTTAAGAATTAGAAATCTAGTTGTATTTACTAGGTACCATTCAACTCTACATTTTACAACAACACATGGTAGCTGCAAACATCACTCTCATAATACTCTAGTATTATAATATAAGATGTAAAGTATTACAAAATCTAAAAAGACCTAATGTTACATTAAGTAAGTGGCTCTTGAGAAAAATAGTAAAATGGATTTGGCATGATTGCCAATTAGGATATCAATATATGTATAGTACTTTTTGCTATACACTAATAAAAAACTGTGTAATTTTATTAACAGAAGAGAATAAGGTCCCATACCTTATTCTCTTCTCAACAAGATCAGAAATATAAGTTCGCAAAGTTTTTAAGATACAAAATTGAGCATTCTGTACAATTAAATATAAAAAGCATATTATTATAAGTATATATTATCAGCTGACTGTAAAAACAGATGGATGGTAACTATAAATACTATATTCTTCATCCATATTAAAAGAACTTGAAAAATTCTTATGTATACAGTTAATACTTAGAAAATACACAAGTCTACATACAGTTTACATAACTTAATAGTATGAGTAACTATGAGAAATGTGACTATATTCAATATTTTACCTATGAATGAAGTTCCTGTAGTGTATATCCTCAATACGGGTGATAAGCTGATCAGCAAGAAGAAGAACAGTCTTGAGTGAGAAACGACGCGAGCAGAAATTAAACAAGTCTTCCAAAGAGGGGCCAAGCAGTTCCATAACCATGACATTGTAGTCCCCTTCTGAGCCGCACCATTTTATTGCAGGTATGCCAACTGCCAAGACAGTAAATCATGTGATAAAAACAGCAATATTATGTGTGTTTAGTAATATTTATTGAACACTTCTAACAAGTGATTTAAATATGTTGTTGTAATATTTTTGTTAAAGGGCTGACAATATAATGTACTACTTGAGACCTCTTAGGTCTATTATTTTATAAACTGATTTTAAAACATTTAGACAGTCAAAACAACATCTGTTAAAGTATCTGGCAATGTGGTATCTTTAAGACTGGATGTTTGTAAACTGTAGTCATTGGTAACTCAGATGTTTGTAATTTCCTGCTAAAATAATACTTACTATTATCTATCAGTAATATAAGTTTCACACAGGTTATTTATAATTTATATATACTTTGGTTTAACTATAATTAGATCACTTCATTAAACACTGGGACTATCTTTTAGTTAATACTGGTGTTACTTTTAATTTTGTGTGGATCAATTTGGCTAACAATGTATAAAACATAATTATTGTAACTTACCACCTCCTTGCATAAGTTTGTAAAATTTGCTCTCTATATGTAACTGTGGATGTCTTGTTTTTATACATTCTAATTTAATAGCTACCTCCTCTTTGGTGACTATGTTTGTTCCTGAAAAGTGAATTTTAAAATAAGATCATTAACTAATTAAAAGTATGATATCAGAGTACTGGCAAACTGTCGTTAATAGAAGAATGTCTCTGGTATTTGAATGTGGCAAAAAATCTTGAGTATTTCAAAGACACACCTTAAATTCACAAGAAAAGCAGTAATAGGGATTCATATGTCAATCACATGTTAGCCTATATTGATATAAATTGAATGGTAGAGCATTGTTAACAGATACATAGTAAATCTAGGAAAATTAATTAAAAATATAAATATCGAGTACATGGTGTAATCACGTTATTTCACAGTTTTGAAACAAAAATCTGCAGCTGGTCAGTGAAATGACCAGTTTTCTTTGTTTACAACAATTTATTTATACACTCACCCAAGTAAATGTCCCCAAACGATCCGGAACCAATTTTACGGCCTAGTCGGTATTTATTACCGACTCGAAGCTCCATTTTGGCGTTCAGCATACAACGAATTCACTATAATATCACTGGCCACCAAATCATTACAGGACGGCCATATTGCGATAGACGCAGAATGTATTGAAATGAAGTGTGTAACTTAATTTGAGTAGAACTAGTTACAAACAGTATTATTTTCACAATGCCTAATGGGTTTTATCTTTGTTATTAAACTTAATATTTGTAGCTCAAAAATTGCTTAAAATTGATTTATTCTAACTACACACGCACATGAGGATTTTTTTTTCTACGACAATCAGTCGATGCCGATGCTGGACAACTCTCGAATAGTCTCGAGATCTCGATTCGTACTCGCAATGGGCTATCAATGTTTTTGGAATCGATTTCCTAAAATCGAAACGAAACTTATTCCAACCTAACTAACCATGCAGGTATTATTAGGTAACAATTCCCAGATTTAATATTTTTTAGTATTTAAAACTATCATATTTTCAGAACAACCTACTGATGACTATAGTAAACTCTTTACCAAAGCAAGTTTGTAGTTATCAAAGTATGATATTGCCATATATGGTAGTGCTTAGAATCCTTTTCGGATTTTCGTACTAATTTGTGCACTAAGGGTAACATATATTAGTTTTTTGTTAATTGTCAATAACATTTTAAAAAATCTAGTGATATATGTAAACATAAACAATGTCAACTGTTTTACACAGGTCAGGAATTGTGCAAACCAAAAGTATACATGCGTGACGTGTGATTGCACTATAATGATGAAACGTGTGAGCATAGTTACTATGCTCACACCTTTTATAATATTTTTAACCAAAAAAAGTAATTGTTTGATAACGGACCTGAAAACCGCTTGTACCTTAACCTAACACTATTGCTAATTATGCATTTTACTTACTTCCTTATTGAGTTAATACTTTATTTACTCATTGACATGGTTTACTACATAATATTAACAATCAAGCATATTAGCACGTTAATTTTCTGCAGTAAAGCACTAGACTAAATGAACTATCTTAAATGTACATAAAACTAGTGGTAGGTAATTAAAAAAAAAGTTAAATCCTCTTTTAAAAGTTTTTAATTATGAGTCGAAGAATACTAACACTCGCATATGGGGTTGCGATTAAAAAAAATTAAGTCCTTATTTTCGCGTTGCAGCCTAAAAATCGTATCCTAAGATATCGATATAAAATTAATTGTGCAGAAAAATACTAACAAGCATTTCATTGCCATCTAGTACATAACATTTACAAGATACATAACACTTTGAAGCGTTAAGAGGGTGCGCGCACGGGTGAGAACTGGGTGATATTTTTGTCCGCCGATAAGTCCGTGACAAAACTGTCACCGCAACCGTATGTTTTTATAGCCATATGACGCTTAGGGCCTCTCCGCACAGTGGTGTTTCATTGCGAGGTTTTGTTTTTATTCTCACGTATGATATTCCGCGTTTGGAAATCCACCTAGTTAGCACTGTGAATTAAATTTCGAACAATTTTTGTCAGATAAATACAGTTCTCAGCTAAGATACCTTTCTAAATGGGTAACAGATCTAAAAATTTTATTTATCCAAAACTATGAAGGCAAAAGACCCATAAAATGTTTTTTCTACATAAAAAGCGCCATTACACCACGCTAAACGCTCGAATTTTATTTCGCAATGCGGCCATAGTCATATCTACTTCTAACTACAAAGTTTTTTCGGGGGAATTAAATCGACAATGTATCGAGTTGAATTTGCATGAAATTAGTTTCTTTTTGTGTGGATAGTACTCTGTACCCAGAATTGTGCAATTTACGGCCCTTAAATTATAAAAAAAATCGCTATTACTCTATGTGAGCGCACTCCACCCCCTTTAGGGGTATATATGTTCTGTGCACTCCACTTTGGAAACGCGACGTGACCTAAGATAAAGAAATGCCAGCCGTGACAGTAAATGGCAAAATGTCAAGTACTGAAATGTATACTATGTCTAAAAACAGGCGTTTACATTATGTTATTGTTACCGTTTTCTGAGTTCCTGTCGTTGTTAGTAAGTAGTTATTCGACTATTGATATTTCTTATGGCAACTTATGTAGAGTGTAGAGGCAAAGAGAACCATGTCACCATATGGGGGGCAAGGTTAGAAAATTTTAATGTAACTCTGCATAGATTTACTTACAAGCTAGGTAATTATTTTGATCCTAACCTAGCAGCTCTCACGTGTATGTACATAATATATGTATATAGCATGCCCAAAAGTACTCTGAAGTTATAAGAGAAATAACAGAAAAACAGAATATAAAATACCACATCCTTATAACGGGGAATAGTCAGAGCGAGCGAAGTGAGCCCTATCAATATTCCACAATCCATGCATTTTAGTGGTTCTTTTTACTGAGAAACTATCACACTTTTGGTTTAGGTTTGGGCTTTGATATAGTAATTACTATTAATGTCTAGATGTGTTATCAATCATAAAAAATATTATTTATCAACTCTTTTTTTTTGAAAATGTAACAATTTTTATTAAATAGAATCTTATTGTGTTACTAACGCCATCGGTAGAAAATTATAAAATCAAATAAGACATGTGTATTTTTTCAACGTGGCTTTTACTACTAACGCCATCTATTAGAAAACTAAAGAATTAATATCGATGTAAACAGAATGTATAGTAAAAATACGACGGATTTTGTCGGTTAAGCACAAATAATGAGTTATTAATTTATAATTAATAACTCATTATTTATTTATAAGTGTAGTTTAATGCGTCATAATAGACCTAGGGGATTAGGTATAAATTGTGCCTCTTTCATTTTCTACATTAAAATTTATCAGCGAAACGGTGAAACAGTCTATATCTATCTTTACTTATAATAAAAGGGTAGAAGAGTGTTTGTTCTAGATATTCTAACTCAGAAAACCCCATAGCACAAGAGAAAAGAACAAAAAGATTTTTCTGGAATTTTTGTTTGTCTGTATGTTCCGCAGTCTCGTAAAAACCACCCAACGGATTTTAATGAAACGTTAAAAAATTTAGAGTCAACATCTGTAATAGTTTTTACTCCCGAAAAACTCTGACCTACCATGGGATGGGGGCCCGAAGTGTAGTTTAACATTTTATTTTTGAGTTAGTTTTGAAAATGAGTTTAGGGGTACAAAATCGTAAATAGAGAAACATGTATATCTTAGAATTGTGATATTTTACTTAAAAATAAAACATTTCCATGTTTTTTGCTGCATATTATTATAGGCTATTTAATAAACTGTTTAATCCTGTTGATAGTCGAGAGGTAAAAGCATTTGTCTGCACTAAGACTGATATGAGTTCGATTCCCATTTAGACCTCAAGTGTTTTCTCTGTTTTATACTTTTTTGTTATTTTCATGGCATTTTTAAATATATATTTTTTACACAAGGTATTGCAGTTAGTTTGAAACATAAAGTATGGTCGTTTTGCCATAAATTGTAAAAATATAGCTATTTTTGAAAAATGATTTTGCTTTAAGCGTTAATACATAAATTAAATTATGAACCATTTTATAGTTCGGTATTTTATGATCTTTAAACTAGTATTTAAGTCTTTAAGTAATAACAAGACACTTAAACGTGTTGTCGAGATTTGTGGAAGTAGGAATTGAAATCGTTTTTTTGTGTTATGTTATTTATGAATTCATAATTGTTTGTTGTTTCGTTGACATATTTACCCTGATTTTTGTGTCCCGTAATCAGTTCATTGTTGTGGTCATTGAAAATTTAAACCCTTCTTTATATATTGACTACTGGTATATTGACTACTATTTGACTACTGGTTTAACATATACATATTATGTAGCATTTTCAAGAGTAAAAACCATTTGAAGGATTAACACTATAAAATGATGCCCCAATGATCATTTAGTAGCATTGAGTTAAACAACTCATAATAGATCAACGTTAAGTAGTATTAAAAACTCACAAATGTAAAATGCAGAAAACAATAGAAATCCACACGAGAAATTGTATGTTTGGATAAAAAAAATGTGTTTTGATAAAATAAAAAATAAATAAGAATGATTTATCGTATGAATTATTTACAGTACAATATGGGCTATATTAATAATCCATGCATTAAAAGATAATACTAGGTAGAAAAATTCGCGAGCTCTTCTAAAGCAATGCTTTTTGCTAGTGCAGATAATAACTGAAGCAAAAATAGGTTATTTTCTGTTTCATTTTTCATTTTATTATCACGAATTTGTACCTACCATCTGGGATTGCTATGGGATTGTGCTCAATGGCGAATTTTTATTTGGCGAACTATCATTTGATCGTCTTGAAATGTCATTCATAGGAAACTTATTCAAGTAAATATCTATTGTTTTTGAAATTATCCTATAAGTCAGTAAGACCCGAGGAAAAGAAAGAAAAAAATTGTAAGCTTATTTGACTCTTTTAATTTCCTTTATTAGTTTAGTGTTACCATTTTATAGCCGTTCTTTCAATTAATGGAAATATTGTCCTATAAAGTGTTGTAATATGGTCGTTTTATAATTTTAAGTACTAAGTCAATAAAAAAATGTAGTTTATGGCACATTTTAAAATGCATTATTTACGTATTTTTGACAATCGTGTGGAAGAGAAAAATAAAATAAAGTGACAACTGCAACCAAAAAGAAAATTGCGCCCTATGAGTAACAGCTAGTGTACTTAGATTAATTATTCTTATTTATATGTCTAGAAAGAGCATCGCTCTGCAAAAGAACACGAAGAAATAAGCCGGGTTTTCGATATTAGTGTGCGTAAGAGCTTCGTCTTAATTTTACTCATGTCACGTTATTCTGCTTTCCTAGTTGCGTGCATAAATGAAACCAGTTTCCGAAAATTTTCTTTAAATTAGGGAAAAATTATAACAGTGTTGAATCTATTTTTAATCGATAAGATTAAACGGTTCTAGTATTGAGCAGTGGGTTCGCGAACAGTCGAGAGCCGTATGGAATCTTGAGACACAGCGCCATCTAGTATCGAGTTACGCACAACAAACACTACGCG